AACACAATGCAAAATAGACAAATCGGAGTTCACACTCAAACTTTAATTAACTTCTGTCTTATTTCTCTAGAGCAGTGTTTCTCAACCATCAAAGTCTACCCATCTTAAATCTGCCAAGGTTGAGAAATGCTGTTTAAGAGAATAAATGAGCCTTGGAAGAGTTGTTCCCCTGTCCAATATACAGGGAAATGCGTCTCCAGGCAAGTTTCAACTTAAATCTAAGGGTGGAGCAGAATCCTGGCTTTCTGTTTGCCTTCCTGCTTAAGACACCTTCTTGCTCTTTTTCTCCTGGAGCTTTTCCAGAAGAACAAAAGTTTTTATTCTTGAATAGGACAAGAATGGGGAGAATCTCTTCCTGCCTACCTCAGCAGAAGATACATTTAGGAAACTTCTGTTAAGAGATGTGTCAGGTTCTGTTCAGGCAAAGAAAACAAACAGGGTGACTAAGCAGGTAGTTTGTGGTAAATGTAATTGTTATAAGCCTGTTCCGGTACTTTCAACAAACACACAATGCAAAAAACGGGTCAAGGCTGTAATTCCGTACTTTCCTCCACCATTTAAACCCTCCTGTGGCCCCCCCTCTCCTACGTGCGTGCAACATACTCCGCTGAAATGACAGACCATGCTGGCTTACATTGCCACGTGTGCACTGGTGCCGTTCCGTATGAAAGTCACTGCAGGATCCGAAGGTCCTTCAAGCTCTTGGTGTGGCAGGGAAACAAGTGTGGCACAGCAGCGATCTAAGTCACAAAACGCCCCAGTCACGAATCTCCCCACCAGTGGAATGGCAGCCCCAGAGAGCGCTGGGGCTGACAAGATGTTTATGTGCAGATGCTGTTGCCATTGTATCCCAAACTCAAGGTAGACCTGGAAGAGATCAGTCAACTGGTGTAAGTGAACAAAACGGGTTCAGACTCACCTATAAAAATGCCAAATCATGTATTTTTGGGGGGAAAGAGCAAGGAGAAAACATGGATTACAAAGGTAAATAAGATTGAGCAGATTCACAGCCATAAACTACCTCAGAGTAATTTTTGACACCAAAGAATCTTAGAAAGCGTATCATAATTATTACTCTCAGGCAATTTTAGGATCGTCTCCTATCGTTAGACACTTCATTTCCACCAAGGATGCAATTAGTTCCTTTTGCTCTTTGAATCCCAAATAGCTCTGATCTTCCCAGGACTGCATGTGAGAATCTGTGCCATGAGAAAGGCAATGGAGGTGGTGCACGTGAATTTTTTGAGAGCTATACTTGCTACTTCAAGACCTAACACAATGCCGCTCTCAGGGACTTCAGGCAGGAATGCCTAAACAGTGGTTATAACCTAGAGCAGTGTTGAAGAACTTTTTCGGTACCGAGTACTGAAAAGGGAGCGCACACACACTAGTCTGGAAGAGGAGCTGCCGAGGGGGCATGTGTGTGCCAGAAAATGAACTTCTGGTTTCCAGCGCACCGGCCAGCTAGTCTTCCAGTCACTGATGCGCATGCACACATGACAATCAGCTGGCTGGTACACATGCATGCCGGAAAACCAGAAGACCTGCTCTTCCTGTTTCCAGCACTGCCATATGCACGAAAGCCAGCTGATTGTTGCGCGTGCATGCACACCAGAAACCCGTAAGAGGAATGGGCGAAGTTGCACATGCCAGGCGACATGGCTCCGTGTGGCACTTCTGACACGCACATCATAGGTTCACCATCACGAGCCTAGAGGATAATAATCAGTTAGTGATTAAATACCTAGCTCTTCCCCACTGTATTGTATCCCCACTGATACAATCCTTGTATTGATGGTGGATCATTCTCCTAGCAGGGGGGATGCTGTGTAGTCCATCTTCCCAGATGTATTCGTTTTTACCCTTTGTTATGCAAAGGTCATCCTTTCTAAAAGTTGGTAATAATGAAGTAACAGCTGGAAGTCAGTAAGACACCACATTACAGCAGGACCTGAATTTCAAGTAAGCCTTGGATGCTGGCCAAATATCTAGCAACTTTCACCTTCCCAAGGTTCAATAATGGCTTCTTTCAGATATGTCTTCATGGGTTACCATCAGCACTTCTATTATACAAAGATTCTAAAACCCTCTGCCTGACCAGTTTCCCTTTCTGGCTCAAAACAGATTGAAACTATTGACTATATCATGATATTGAGCATATCATAATTTCTACAAAGAAATATGGAATTTCAACTGTTAGTGAATAGATACATAAAGGTCTTACTCTGATTCCGACTCTGGTATTACTAGCACAGTGCTAAGGTCTGTGTTGCTACTGTTAAAATTTGTCATCAAATGCTCCAATATAACAGATTAACAGAGTTGCAAGGGAACCTTACCTTGTAGGTCATCTAGTCCAATCCCCTGCCCAAGCAGGAGACCTTACACCATTTCTGACAAATGGCAGTCCAATTTCTTCCTGAAAGCCTCCAGTGATGAAGCTCCCACAACTTGCGAAGGCAAGCTGTTCCATTGGTTGATTGCTCTCAATGTCCGAACATTTCTCCTTATTTCTAGGTTGAATCTCTCCTTGGTCAGTTTCCATCCATTATTCCTTGTCTGGCCTTCAGGTGCCTTGGAAAATAGCTTGACCCCCTCCTCTCTGTGGCAGCCTTCAAATATTGGAACACTGCTATCATGTCTCCCCTGGTCCTTCTCTTCAGTAGACTAATCATGGCTTTATGTTTATATATGAATTATTAATTGTAATAATAA